ACCTGGACCTCGTCTATTCCATGAGAACTTCCAATCACCAGGTGGATGGGGAGGGCTGCAGCTGGCGCCAGACCTTCACGGATGCCGCGGGCCGTATGCACTGGGACCACGTCTTCGTCACCGAGCTGCTTTCCAACAGCAGCTACCGCCCGGTGCACGATTTCATCATGGGGGCGGAGTATACGGCAGTGGCCAGGGTCCGACGAGCCCTGGCGGAGGTGCCGAAGCGCTACCTCAAATGTCTCAAGACCGACTGTCTGGTGATGCAGGACGTGCCAAAGAAGCACCGCTCCGCCATCGAGCGGCTGCTGCGCCTGTCGCATCGGGACGGCACGCCCGTCTATCGCTGCGAGCCGACGGAAGGCCTGCGGGGCCAGTACCGGGAGCCTCGCATGGAGGCGGAGCCCATCAGGGAGAAGCCGGCGTGGCGGCGNNACGGGCAAGACGCATCTGGCACGCAAGATCGTGGAGGCCCTGCGGGAGCTCGGGGACACCGTGCACATCATCACGAAGACCCACGCCGCCGTCCAGAATGTGGGGCTCGGGGCGCAGACGGCGGATCACTGGGTGCGCCGCAACGTTCGCAGCGGCCGCTGCAGCGCCACCTGGCTGGTCATCGAAGAGCTCACTCAGTTAGATACTCCTCTGTGGGCTGATATAGCCTGCCTGAGCATGAACACCTCCATGCGCTTCTTGTTGCTCGGAGACTTCCGGCAGCTTCCCGCCGTCCTAGATTCCTTCGCAGGGGCGGAGGTGTGCAGGGAGCTGAAAGACAGCCAATTGCTGCACGACCTGGCCGGCGGCTGGTGCCACGAACTGTCGGAGCGCTGGCGCTTCGACGAGGGGGTCTTCTCCTTCCTTCAGTGGCTGAGAGTGGACGAGGCAGAGCAGGTGCCTCTGCGCGAAGCCGTGCAGATGGCCCGGCAGCGCTTCCCGCGGAGGGGCGAGCCGGAGGTCTGCCTGGTCATCTCCCACGCCAAGCGACTGCAGATCAACGAGCGAGAGAATCGCAGGAGAGCGCCGGAGGATGCGCTGCTGGTGGAGTACGCCGGGCCGGAGACGGCGGGCACCAATGCGCCCCAAACCATGAGGGTGTGGCCGGGCCTGCGGCTCGTGGGCGCCGGCGGCAAAGTGCAGAAGGGCGTCTTCGTCACCGTCAGTGAAGTGGGAGAGCGAGTGTCGCTGGAAAGCGGGCAGAGCTTCGAGCCCCGGGAGCTGCTGAAGCACACCCGCCTTTGCAGCGCCATCACCTACGCTTCCGTGCAGGGCCTGACCCTCCGGGGCCGGGTTTGGCTCTGCGACGTGGACTCTCCCCATTTCACCATGAAGC